AGTCAACTTAGGAGACGTCACTTTGGTCTTCCTGGGATTATACAACCACACCTTATCTCCTGGTATAAAACTGACTTCAGTAGATCTTTTATCATAAGTTTACTTCATCGAATCAGCAGACGTTGTTAAGTTTGAACGCACTTGATGGTGAATATCATCCATCCTTTCCGATAACACTTTCACGAATTCTGACACATTTTCAGGCAACTCTTCGTAAGGTGGGCATCCAGTTGTCAGATCCATTGGCAACCGAAGTTCCAGACCAAACATCAGCTTTGATGGAGTGTATCCAGTGGCTTCATGCTCTGCTATTCTATAGGCCATTAACAGTGGAGGTAGTAAGACATCCCAGTCACCATGGCAGCTATTACAAAACTTTGTCAATTCCTGTCCCAGTGTCCAATTGTACTTTTCTACCATCCCATCAGACTATGGACGGAGTGGCGTTCTCCTGGTCTTTCGTATGCTAAATATCTTGCAGCATTCATGGAACACAGCTGATTCAAAGTTACGCCCTTGATCCGAATGCAGTTTGTATGGTATACCAAATCTGAAGAAGAAATCACTAATAGCCGAAGCTACAGTTATAGCTTCCTGATTTGGTATTGCATATGCCTCAGGCCACTTGGTGAAATAATTCATCACCACACAAATATACCTGTTTCCAGCACGAGTTTGGGGCAAAGGACCAGCAATGTCAATGACTACTCTTTCCATTGGTGTGCCAAATTGATATAACTTCATTGGAGCACGTCCCTTATGCTTGGGTCCACTTTTAGAACAACATGTACTGCAGGTCCTGCACCATTCTTCCACATCTTGCATCATACCTATCCAGTAAAATCTGTGTCGTAGGTGACTCAATGTCTTCTCAACTCCGAGATGTCCTCCTCTTAAATTATCATCGGACTGACGCAGCACAAATTCCCGTAACTTTCTCAGTGTAACCGTTTGCCAGGTCGCCACTTTCCCATCTGCAGTTTCCCATCTACGGAGAAGAATGCCATCTTCAAGCTTCAACTGGTCCCATTGTGCCCAATAGTTCTTTGTCACAGGGCTTGAGCTAGACACCTTCTCCCAAGCAGGGTGCAAAACACTTACT